TGTCTGTCTGTCTGTCTGTCTGTCTGTCTGTCTGTCTGTCTGTCTGTCTGTCTGTTTGTCTGTCTGTCTGTCTGATGTGTGTGTGTCCGGTTGTTTGTCTATCTGTCTGTCTGTCTGTCTGTCTGTCTCTAAAATGTGGGTTGTTGGCAGGTGCTCTGGTGTGGTTTGCTTTTTCTTTCCTATCAAACATCTATCATCTCTATCTCCTCCCCTTTTTTGTATTTGTTACTCTCTTGTAACACCTCTAATCTTTAGCACTCATATGACCTTACTGTGTTGCAAGTGCCGTAAAACATTTACTAAAACTAAACTGTCTCTATAATATTTAATTCTACACCATGCCTGGATAGATGTACATATGATGTAAAATCCGCATAGCTAGTGTGTGATGCATGAATATGCCAGTGTATATCAGGCTGTGTAGAGAGCTTATATGACGATGTGAGCAAACAGTTTTCCGTTGAATCCTCCCATATTTGACAAGATTAGCTGCCCCTGGTTTAGTGACTTGGATATGGCATGCAGAGATTAAAGTGTCGGGGGGCAGAGTTTTCACCCCCCATACTTACTGAAATAGCATTTCTATCTCTGTCTCTTCTCATGGAAATTTCCCCAATGTAAAGCGTAGTTTGGGAGTCCATTTGTAATGCAATATTGCTTGAAAATGTGAGGAGTATTTGTGTTTATTTTTTATAAATATATATGATTGTGCGGTATATACGTATCAGTCAGACAAAAAGCCATTTCCTCACACAGTTGTTACTGGTCCACTACCAAAAGGTTCAATTTGTAATCGCAACGGCAAAATTCAAGTTTGATCCTTTCTTTGTATGAAAGTACATCAAATGTACTTTTGTCGCTTTATATGGGTTCTTTTTTCCTGAGTTTTTTTTTTTCCTGCGCAATGGCTTTAATATAAACTCCCTGTTGGCCCTTATGGTGGGAGAGCTTAGAAAATGATCTTTATATTCCCAGGGAAAGAACTATCATGTGTAAAGGATCTTTTCTCAAGGGATCATCTTCTTATCTTTAATAGCATATATTTATAGTATGTATATATGCTTTGGTCTCCTGGAAACTAGGTTGGGGAGAAAGTTGGAAGGGGATGCATGGGAATGGGTCGGGGGAATAGAAAAGATGATCGGCCGTGATAGAAGAGCCTACTGGGGGAGGGGGATGGGGAGGAAAAAGCTTAGTGGATGGTAGTGCTGGGCGGTTAGGTTCCCGGTTATTGAAAGTTAGGAATCGTAGGAATCGACTCCGAACCCAATTATTAACTTTCTAATGATGTGATTTCTTCGGGTGGTTACCTGGTGGTTGGCTCCGAACATCTTCAGGGTTTATGGTAACATTGCTTTCGGAACACTACGAAGCATCAACTTTTAAATAATTAATTTTAAAAAATAGAAGATTTTAATGATCAAAGTAACTGGTAAACGCTGGTTTACGTCAAAAGGAGTAGGAATTTTTCTTACGTAGCTTTAATCGTAGGAATCGGTTCCGGAATCGATCCTTCGCCCAGCTCTAGTGGATGGGATGGGAGGTGAGGGAACAAGTCCTTATTCAGGACATTTACTGTTGAAACTTCTTTACGTGTGGACTGTCATTATAATGCAGTTTCCTGCATGGTTTCACTATCGCATGGTCTCCCATAGAAATATAACTTTCTTAACTTTCTATTTTTATTTTTGTAGAGTTATTTGACTTAAAGAATTTGAAACAAATAAAGTTTCTGAGTGAAACAAGAGGAAAATGGACCATATCTGAGAGTTGTGTAGAAAGATGACTTGAGTCTGTTTGCATATATGTGTGGGTGAAAGGGAGAGAGAGAGAGAGAGACAGAGAGAGAGAGAGAGAGAGACAGAGAGAGAGAGAGAGAGAGAGAGAGAGAGAGAGAGAGAGAGAGAGAAGAAGAAGAAAATGTTGGAGGGGAAAAAAAGAGAGGGGTAATGAGAAAACGAAGGGAAAAGAAAAAGTGCATTAATTTGTTAGTTTTTGTGTAAGAGAACTCCAATCTGCTGTACGTTTTGTATCAGAGAAAGAGTCTGAGGGAGTGAGGGAATGAGAGACAGACAGATAGGGAGAGAGAGAGAGAGACAGAGAGAGAGAGAGAGAGAGAGAGAGAGAGAGAGAATATTGCTTGCTATGAGTAAAATGTGTGCTTCCATATTATGATTATGATACTCAATGTTCTATTACTTCCATATTTTTTCAGCGCCAGTGGTTAAATAAGTATTTGAAAGAAGGTTGACTTACCTATCTTACTGGTCCATCCTTCTGTCCATCAATACATTAATCCTTATCCATCATCAGTGTGATTGTATTCGTTCATCCATACATCAATCCATTATCCATTTGATTGTGTTTATCTGTATCCATCCATCCGTCATGATCTTTCATCCATGTGATTTTGTTCATCTGTCTATTCATCCATCCGTCGTGATCTTTCATCCTTGTGATTGTGTTCATCCGTCTATCTATCCATCTATCCGTCATCCATGTGTGCTTGTGTTCATCCATCCATCCATCTATCTGTCATCCATGTGCTTGTGTTCATCCATCCATCCATCTATCCGTCATCTATCATCCATGTGCTTGTGTTCATCTATCCATCCATCTATCCGTCATCCATATGTGCTTGTGTTCATCCATCCGTCCATCTATCCGTCATCCATGTGCTTGTGTTCATCCATTCAGAGTGGACGGAGAGGATGTGCGACTGATGCTCTGGGACACGGCCGGCCAGGAGGAGTTTGATGCAATAACCAAAGCCTATTACAGAGGTGAGAGCTGAGAGGATGGCTGGCGGGTGCTCTGGTGTGTGTGGTTTGCTCCTTTTTTCCTGGACTATCAAACATCTATCGTCCATTCATCTTTTCTTTCTTCTTTTTTTTTTGTGTTTGTATTGTTACTCACTTGCAACACCTCCGATTATCTTTCCGCACTTTTATGACATTATTGTGTTGAAAGTGTTGTAAAAAACGTTTACTAAGCCTAAAAAAATACAGAGGTGAGAGCTCAGAAAAGCGGATCAGTCCTGTCTGCTGTGAAGTTTTCTTTTTTTATTTCTTTTTTTTTATGTTAGTTGTGTTAACCAATTAAATGAACCACCAACAATTATCTGATTTTTTTTTTCTTTTTAATGTTCAGTTTTGAATGTGGCCATATGTTGCATGCCTGAATAATTACTAAGTAGGGTGTTATATGTGGATGGAGATGTGTTGTTGTCTACGGAGAGACGTGCGTCGTTGAGTGTATTCAGCGAGAACCCCCAGCTGGTTCTTTTATGAGTATTTCACCGAATGCTATAAATATATGTGAATGGTTGTTAAAATGGGCTGCTATTGGCTGTGGGTGGTTGGCGGGTGCTCTGGTGTGGTTTGCTCCTTCTTTCCTCCTATCTAACCAAAGATACATCTAACATCTATCGTCCTTATTATCTCTCCTCCTTTTTTGTGTTCGTTGCTCTCTTGTAACACCTCTAATCTCTGGCACTCATATGACCTTATATTGTGTTGCAAGTGCCGTAAAACACTTACTAAAACTAAACTGACTGTATTCCGCGACAATCACCAGCTGGTTCTTTTATATGAGTATTTCACCGAGTCGACAATATGGGAGTGGCTCGAGTGGGCTGCTATTGGCTGCTGCTAGATGTCTCTACATTTCTCTTGTCTCGTTATAATGATGGTTTTTGTCTGTGTTTGATGTGGCAAAACGTGAAGCAGAGAGAAAGCGGTGAGGGAATGAGTTGTAAAGTGAACTGGGAACAGTTTGTAGTTTGTGCCTCGCTATGCTCATGTCACGTATTATTATAACCTTTCAGATGTTTGATAGAAGCAAAAAAGAAGCAAACCACACCTCTAAGTTTCAGCACTTATTATATCACGGCCTTTTAATTGTGTTGCAAGTATGGTAAATCTCTGGGTGGTTGGCGGGTGCTCTGGTGGGGTTTGCTTCTTTTTTCCTATCAAACATCTGAACCATTATAATAATACTCATTAGCATAGCGAGTGACACACTGTTGCCATTTCACTTTACAACACCTGATTTTAAGTTATAATATATATTTTTATGTATAATGCTTTAGTCCTAAGATATTTGATGGGTGGTTGATGGGTGCTCTGGTGTGGTTTGCTTCTTCTTTCCTATCAAACATCTATCGTCCTTATTTCTCCTCCTTTTTTTATGTTTGTTACTCTTTCGTAACACATCCATTCTTCGGCACTTATATATAACCTTATTGTGTTGCAAGTGCCGTAAAACTCATTACTAAATCAAAACAAACAAAAACACTCATCTATAGTCCTTGTCTCTCCCTCTCCTTTTCTTTGTATGTTACCTCTAACCTTGGTCACTTTTATGACCTTCTTGTGTTGCAAGTGCTGTAAAACTCGTACTAAAACTGTTGAAAACTGTCGTCTGTTTGTGTGTGCAGGTGCTCAGGCTTGTGTGCTAGCCTTCTCCACTGTGGACCGGGAGTCGTTCGAAGCCATAGAACTGTGGAAGAGGAAAGTAAGTCTGAAGATCAGAGGTGTTACAATGACGTGCCATGTATTATTATATAGGCATATGATCTAGATCTGTGCAGTAAAATAGTAAGTTGTGGCTCAAATGACAGTCTAGTATGTATTATATATATTATTTTTTGTTTGTGTATGTTTGTATTCATGCATCATGTCTGTATATGCCGTGTGTGTGTGAGTTTGTGTGTGTATGCGCATGTGTGTGTGTGTATGTGACAATGTGCTCTTGTAAGGAGTGTGTGAGTCCTGTATTTTGAACTTACATCAGTGGATGGTTGGCGGGTGCTCTGGTGTGGTTTGCTCCTTCTTTCCTATAAAACATGTATCGTCTTTATCTCTCCTCCTTTTTTGTGTTTGTTACTCTCTTGCAACACCTCAAATCTGCGGCGCTTATATTACCTTATTGTGTTGCAAGTGCTGTAAAACTTACCCCCAAAAAAAAAGAAAAAAAAAGAGTGAATTTACGTCTGAGTCCGAGTAATTATGAAATGCTACGGTGAGTACCACTTGTATGTGCATTTGTAAACCTTTGTAGGCATGTTGGTAAGTGTGTTTGTGTAGCTGTCTCTTGCTCTATTTTCATTTCTATAAATTTTCTACTGATGAACTACTAAGGTTTTTTTTAACTTCCGTGTCTCTTTTTTTTCCAGGTGGAGGATGAGGTTGGGGATATTGCGATGGTCCTTGTCCAGAATAAGATAGATCTTATTGACGATGCTGTTGTCCACACGTAAGTTATACGTATAGAACGTCTTCAACCAATTAAATGTCTGTACAATATTCTAACAAACTATTAATTCCAGGGTGTGGGGGTGGGGTGGGGGTGGGGGTTGTGTTGTAGTTGTACTATGTATAATGACAGGGTGTGCTGTTATGTTTTTGGGGTGGCCGGGGGGGGGGGGGGGGTTTGGTAGGGGGGAGGAGGGTGCTATTTGTTGATATTTAGTCTGTAGTGCTTTTGAGTTAGTTGTTGTTGTTGTTTGTTTTTTTTGTCCTGTTCTTTCCTTGAGGGGAGTGGGAGGGGAGGGGGAGGGGAGTTGTGGGTGCTAAGTATTGACAGGAAGATGTTCTGTGGTACTTTTGTGTTTTATTTCTACTTTCATAATAGTTTTGCCTAGATTTTTAGTTCATACCTTACCAGGAAGATGCAGACTTCAAGAACACAAATTGACCGTACATGTGCAAGAGGTATAAAGCGGATATAATATATGGGACTTATATTGTAAGTGATGTTTGTGTGTTTTGTCTCGTCTTTTTAAGATTATTTTGGGATTTGGTATTGGGGGAGAGGGGAGGTGTAGTATCTTTTGAAGATCTTTCCACGTTCCAGCTTATTTTTTACGTGTCACTTCCCAGGCGAGAGACTGAAGAACTTGCCAAAAAATTGCGACTGCGATTCTATCCTACGTCGGTAAAGGAAAATCTGAATGTGGAAGAGGGTAAGCGGATATAAATCATATATACACAGCAATGACATATTTATTTTTCAGTTCGAAAGTAGGAAGGAAATAATGAAATTGAACAGAACTATATTATAATATACCACTTGATGTCTTTATTTGATTTACGGGTTTGTCTGGAAACCCCAGAATTTCACTTTATGTCTTATGAACCATAACTGGCTTCCTTATTAGGCATCCCTGGAATTCTGGTTTCATTATAGAGTTTGTGTTGGGTCTGGCTGATTGTTTTAAAAAAGTAAAATGTTATGTTTGCTAATGGCTTCTCGTGATGTACACGATTGTTCTTGTTCTTGATTGTGAAAAGTTTATTTTATATATATTTTTTGTTAAGATGCAAAGCTACTCATAAAGAGTGGTACACTTTTAACGAACCACAACTTTTTCTTTCAGTTTTCAGGTATCTTGCGGAAAAATATATTGATCAACTGAATTCTGTGGTGGAAGAAAAAGTCAGCCCTCAAAAAATAGGACAAGGTAAGAACGGACGTTTATCATCCTGAAGAATGTGGACAATTCAGAATATAGAGACGCAAGGTCTTTTTAGATTTTATGTAAGGAAAGAGGTTTCTGAAGATTGATGCTATAATTTGACTTCTGTCAAAATTAGAAACTGTGACTCTGTGGACAGTTGACGTATAATCCACAGTACTGAAGCTTGGAGTTCAAATCCTAGTGGGGTTTACATTTTCTAGTCATTCCTGGAATATTTTCTTTCCCACTTCTGTCCATCTTTCCAGTGAAACATCTATTGTCCGGTCCCCGTCATTTTATGCCAGAAAAATTCTGAAATTATGCGATTCTGTTAATTTTGACAACGAATGATAAAGGAAAATAATAAGAAATTATGGAAAAAATGACCATTTTGCTAAATTATGCGGGGTGCATAAAACCACGGTGACAGATTGTCCATATCTCTCCTTCTTTTCTTTTGTCTGTTTCTGTCTCTTAACACCTTGAATCTTTACACACGTCTCTGTGGGCTCAGCCTATTTCTTTTCTAGGCATTTGTCGTCAATTTGCTCCTGATTTACACAGATTACGAAAGTGCTTTTATTTCTTGGCTTTTTGTCCTTTAAAAAAAACCTGAGGGACAAACTGATTATTATTTTTTTTTTTTTTATTTGCAAAGATACTTCAGACCAGTCTTACACTTCTAACTGACCCCTACTTCCACCCCCCAGACCTCATGCACAATGACGTGAAGAACCACAATTCGGATCCCCACGGGAGACAAGTCATCAGTCTGCAGCCCAGCAAGAGACGAGCCAACAAAAAGAAACCATTCACCACCAGTAAATGTCACTTGTTATAGTCAACAGAACTCTCTGTGTTATAGTCAACAGTATTCTGTCTCTTTTAGCCACTTTTTTCTCTCTGTTATAGTCCACACTATTCTGTCTCTTTTAGTCAACTGTCCTGTCTGTGTTAATGTCCATACTCTACTGTCTCTTGTAGTCAACTTTCTTCTTTGTGTTGTAGTCCACACTCTTTTCTCTGTTGTAGTCCACACTCTTTTCTCTGTTATAGTCCACACTCTTTTCTCTGTTATAGTCGACACTCTTTTCTCTGTTATAGTCCACACTCTTTTCTCTGTTATAGTCCACACTCTTTTCTCTTTGTCTGTATTTTGTTAGTGCAGTTCTTCATCTTGCTCCGTAGAAAAAACTCTTCCGAACTATTTATTCTTCGGTCCCTGTCAGAAAAGTAGATGGTGATGTTTTGGTTGTAGATGGTCAGAGGGTGCCACTGGTAGATCTTACTTCTTTTCTTTCTTTCGTTCGCCTCTCTTCTTGGTTTCTGTCTGTCTATCTGTCTTTGTTCCAAAACTAAGCAACAACTGGTATTGTGAAGATGCATTCCTCTTTTCTAAAGCTGAACTGAGATGTTCTGGTTCATGATGTGGGTGATTTTTGAGTTATGCGGACAAATGAGTTATTTTTAAATTCCTTTTCTAAGAGGATGCCTTGCTGAATCTGTCATTGCGTTGTCTGGTAATTCTTATATGTGAAGCGTGCTGACATAATGAGTTATTTTTAAATTCCTTTTCTAAGAGGATGCCTTGCTGAATCTGTCATTGCGTTGTCTGGTAATTCTTATATGTGAAGCGTGCTGACATAATGAGTTACTTCTCTGATTGGAGCCCTATGGAAATAGATACATCATGCTTATAGGTTAAGTTTTTTACAATTTATAATTTTGAAATAACAAAAGGCATTTAATACTTAATGAATATTGCATCAATGGAAAACCTGGAAATTTGATACAAGTGTCTATTTTTGGCCAATATCTCCATTTGTGGGTTGTGAGACGTAACTCATTTTGTCAGTACGTCTCACATATAAGCAAGCTCGCAGTTAGGGAAATCTATTTTGGTTGCAACACCTTTCATGGAGATGGTCTTTTGACTTCGTTTTGTGTCCCATGACCGTTACTGTCTTCCTGAGCATGGATAATGTGGATGGTCGGCGGGTGCTCTGTTGTGGTTTGCTCCTTCTTTCTTATCAAACATGTGTCATCCTAATCTCTCCTCCTTCTTTTCTTTGTACGTTACTCTCTAGTAAATTTGAGTGGTTGGCGGGTGCTCTGGTGTGGTTTGCTCCTTCTTTCCTATTGAACTTCTCTCCTCCTTCTTTTCTTTCGTATGTTACTCTCTACTAACACCTCTAATCTCCGGCACTTAACTGACCTATATGTGCTGCAAGCGCCGTAAAACTCTTTACTAAAACTAAAAATTAAGTGAGAGCGGGATCCTGTGAGTGTACCGACGTGACTACGGTGCTGTGAGTGTACCGGCGTGACTACGGTGCTGTGAGTGTACCGACGTGACTACGGTGCTGTGAGTGTACCGGCGTGACTACGGTGCTGTGAGTGTACCGGCGTGACTACGGTGCTGTCCTGGTTTGTGATAAGGCTGGTTGTTGACTTCTTCCTTAATTCTTTTTTTGTTGGTTGTTTCTTTACACATTTCTGCTTTAAGCATTTATTATTGTTATTATGACTTTGTGACAACAACGAGCCTGTGGTGATTTATATTTATTTTACATGTTTTTTTGCGTTTAATTCCTTATGGACCTAATGTTTCGTTCTTTGGAGATTTGCTTTGGGGATGGGATGTTTTTTGTTTATTTGTTTGTTTATTTGTTTGTTTGACCTGTGGTGATTTATATTTATTACATGTTTTTTTGGTGTTGAATTCCTTATGGACCTGATGTTTCGTTCTTTGGAGATTTGCTTTGGGGTTGGGATGTTTATTCTTTGTTTGTTTGTTTGTTTGTTTGTTTGTTTGTTTGTTTGAGTGGGGATGGGGGAAGGGAAGATGGACGGGAGGTTCCATGAAAACTTCAGGTTTCAATATTCAGTCGTCCATTTGTCCCACGAATCGTCTGGCATGTGCATCAGTGTCTCCAGAAGTGGGGAACTTTTTTGTTTGACCCTACTGTATAGGCTGAGCAGTAGCACACTTTTTGTGGACACGGATGGAAATATGTTTTCTTAAACTTTTTTAAAAAACTTTATCTGTCTCCATCACACACACACACACACACAAACACAACATACCTACACACATATGTCTGTGCCTGTGTGAGTATGTGTGTGTGTGAGTGTGTGTTTGTGTGTGTGTGAGTATGTGTGTCATGACACGGAGGAGTCAGGCATTCGTCATTTTTTCGTTACAAGGAGTTATTGCTATAATCTTCAAGCTCGTTCACTCGTATTGTTTATGGTGAAATAAGAAAAGTTTCGTCTGCCTTGAACAAAAGCAGAGATATTTGAGATGAGAGGAGGTAGGGGGCGCCTGGTTACCAAAGTAGAATTAACCAGAAAATAGCCACCAAAGTTTGGAGATCTGAAGCATGTTTGTTCCTTAAAACTGAAAATTTACTTTTTTTTTGGGTGCATTTGATCAATATTTTCATTAAAATCCACACAGGAATGTGCTTTTAAATGAACACAAAAGGTGATGATCCAACAAGAAAAGTCTATAAAAATTGCCAAATGGGCGGAAAAACGGCGATCTCTTTATTTCATTATTTTGACAGGGGCCTGATTTCACCACAGTGTGTCACACACGTATATATTTATATCAAATCCATGATGCCACACACGTATATATATATCACGTCCACAATGCCACACACGTATATATATATCACGTCCACAATGCCACACACGTATATATATATCACGTCCACAATGCCACACACGTATATATATATATATCGCGTCCACAATGCCACACACATATATATATCACGTCCACAATGCCACACACGTATATATATCACGTCCACAATGCCACACACGTATATATATCACATCCACAATGCCACACACGTTTATGTCAAGTCCACAATGCCACAACGAGAAAGCCATTTGTGATGGGCCGAGAGAAGCCTCCCCATTGGCCTCCTTTTCGCCAATAGTCAGACACCTGTCTCAATTTTATTTATATTTTTCCCTGCTGTGTGTGAGAGAGAGAGTGTGAGTTTATTGATCTCATCGCACAGTTTGTCTTGTTGCGTGTGTTGGTGAGAGGCTGTTGTTTTCCTGTTCATCTGTCGGGGTCAGCGGGCATTTTGTAGATTATCTATGGGGCTGCTATATTCCTCTCGTAATCTGCGCCATGACAGAGAAGCTGAGCGTTGTTATGTCTTTTATTCTGAACTCGTTCTGGACGTTATTTTCTTCTGTAGTTGAAACCATTTTCACTGCTCAGTGTAAGACACTGTCACACTCGCTTTTCAAAATGGGTTTTGAAAGGCTGGATTTTGCCGGACTTCATGGTCTTCGTACAAGATGTATTAGATCTGTAAATTATCAGTCTTCGTGCATGTCTTTCCACAGGGGCAGAAGAGATTAAGATTTTTTTGTGTGTGTAATCAGATAGCACCTCTGTATTTGGAATAGCACTTTTCCAGAGACCTCTTTTGTTAGGAAAATGGAAACTTCTACAAACCTTTTGTCCGTTTGCTGGATCGTTAATGTTGTTTTTGTGTGTGTAGTCAGGGTTTTGTTGTACTTATGAGTCTGTAGCAGACCTGCCAAGTACTACGATAAAATTGGAGCTCTTACTCTTAGAATTTTTATTTTTTTTGCCTGTCAAAGGTCATCAGTTGGATTTGTATGAACTCCCAGGTTTTTTTATTTTCTTGAAATTTCCACTTCCATTGGTCGCACATGACTTGTCATATGTGACATGTAAGTACGCCTACATATTGTTTACTGCATTTGTTTCCAATATTTATTTGTCTTAAATAACGTGAAAATACACATATTTTTCTGTGTGTTTGATGTACACGTTTATATGCCACTCTCAGTTTTATACGCTGTGGAGACTCTCACTCTTTTTTTCTTATACTCCTATTGTTGGGAAGATTTGGAGGCAAACTCCTCTTTTGGGGAAAATATGGAGGAAAACTCCTGTTTTTGGTCTCGGAGTGGTTAGCAGGTCTTCTATATATGGTCTGGCAGTCGTGCCACGCTCAAGGACACCGTAGATGGAGGAAAACTTGCATCTCTCAAAGCTTGATCTGATTTCTTTTATTCTAACGCAGTTTGTGTAAAGTTTTATACCTTGATCTCTTGTATTTTTCTTTTTTTTTTCTTTCTTTTTTTTTTTTTTTCTTTTTCTCTTTTTGTGATGGCAGCAAAAGTAAATTATATATGAATTTTCCAGTGTCAAAGTTTCTAGCAGTGTGTTTTAGTTTTTAGTTTTAGTAAGAGTTTTACGGCACTTGCAACACAAATAGGTAGTGTAAGGGCTGTTGTTGCACTGTTCTTCTTCAAGCTTTATATTATTGCTAGTATTGTAGTTGCAGGCGATGTGATTCTCTGATATGAACAAAAGTGAAACAGAAAGATATTTGTTCTCATATAAATCATACACAATGGGGAAAGATGGGTCACAAAGAGCTATAATGACTATATCAAAGAGTTATCAGTAACAAAGGAAAATAATTGAACCCTCCAAGTGGCCAATTATGTCTGGGGAAATTGTCTGATTTCCCCTGGTTATGTTGGAAAATTCTTGAGAACAGGCAAAACAAGCAAGTAAGGCCGTAAACCCAATTTCAGAAAGTAGAACGTAAATATAGAAAGTAGAGTTGAAATATTTCGTAAATTAAAAAAAATTAGAATAAAGAAGTAGAAAGAATTACTTAAATTACGGCCAATTAAATCAGCTGCAACACCACTGAATGAAACTTACGGCTGATTTAAATGACCTGACTATGTTGATAAAGGCGTTCAACGGGTACTGTGGGTGGTTTGCAGGTGCCCTAGTGCGGTTGCT